AATCACTGACCCTGAAGAAAAGTAACTTTGAACAGTCAAAACAAGAACACTTTAGTAATGCTGATACTTTAATTATAACTTGGGATATTTTTCAGGACTACCAGAATTTTCATGATACACTGATAAAACCTACAAACAAAAATTTTCATATTATGAAACATTTACTTCAAATACAGACATATCTCAATTTATTTAATTTTATGAAATGATTAATATTTCCCACCACCTATTAAAAGAAAATAAATTAGATTCTACCTGCCACATCGGTTTTTAGCACCCTATAGAACATTCTATAGAAAAATCTGATCCTAATAAAACTGTTATTTTTTGATTCCTAATGCTACCAAAAGCTAAACACCTAGTTCTATATATGCACACACCTTTATTGAAAGATTATCTTGCCTTATCAACCTACTTGCTTCTTAGGTAACTGATAATTTTAGCTTATAGAGGACCATGATTTATTATAGGCTAAATAATATGAAACTAAAATTTTACCCCTTGAGTGCTGTTAGTAATTTCTTAGAAGAGGTGTTTTGTGACATTCTTAATACTTTTTATAATATTCTTCAAAATCCATTAACACAACATAAAAGTCAGACTTTTTCTGACAGAAAGGAAGTATGATTTGTTTACTTGATTTAATGATGAGATTGTGGCTATTTGGCGTGATTTCATCATGTGGTGGACATTTACCATAAACTGATTAAACCTGTGGTTCCAAGGTTTTGATGACTGATACATTTAATAAAATATATATTATGATAAAAACATTTAAAGCACTAACTGTATGAAAAATATATCTGAAAAGGTGTTTTGAAAGTAACAGGTTGGATTTTCCAACTGAATTAAATAAAGTTTTTCTAAGTGGAAGAGTAACAGGTACACTTAATAATCATTTGATAGCCTCGGTAGAGCTGTTTGGGTTTATGTCCCCAAATTTGAGAATAAATAACTTTAAGTAACAAACTCTTCCAAAAGTTAGAGCTACCAATTCTGTTTTCAACAAAAAAAGAACAATAAACTAATCATATTGTCAGCTGAAGGATAATTAAAAACACAACATGATCTTTGGCATGGAATTTAAAGAATTGAATAAAACTGTTCTAATAAAGCTACTTCCATACCCATCTCTATTTAGGGGCTGTTTCAGCACTTACATAGACAGAAATGAAGGACATAGACAGAACTGATGCTGAGCCCTCTTTCATTCTAGCAATGCCATATTTACCCAGGGATACATAAACCAATGAGAAAATTACTCTCATTAAAAGAGGACTCTCAACAATTTTACATTTCATTTAATAAGTATCAAAATCTTAAATACTTATATTTTGATCAATTATGTAAAATAATTTTAACAACTCAATATAGAAGAAATTTAGCACAGACTTAAGGCCATAGTAAATACATTTTATTTTATTTTTTTAAATTTTATTTATCTTTCTTTAATGGAGGTACTGAGGGATTGAACCCAGGACATCACTCATGCTAAGCATGCACTCTACTACTAAGCAATACTCACCCTCTTATAATAAATTTTAAAATGTTAATCTATATACTTTTTTTTCAAAGATGATAGTGTGATCAGTATTATTTCCGGGCATAAAAATATACAGTAAAATCCTATGACAACAAACTCCAAGAATATAAGAATCTGGCCTAATGGAACTGGCCCCCATCCTCCATTTCAGTCCCCTACTCCCAGACATTTTAAGCTTCTCCAGGGAAGGCACGTGGTGGTGGTCAGAAAGTGTTAGTGACTACCTTGTGACTACTGGGGACTTTCTCAGTTCAATGAATGGTCAATTTGTATAGTAAATTTCACTACCTTTATTTTTGTCCTTTGTGTGACAATACAGACTGAAATGTAATTTTTTTCATTATAAGTGCAATAATATGACCCTGTATTTTCAAAATTCAATTTTTGGGGACCCATCCAGGCATTATGTTGTATTACATTAAGATAAAATCCTGTGAGGGGGAGGGTACAGCTCAGTGGTAATGTGTGTGCTTAGAATACACGAAGTCCCGGGTTCAACCCCCAGCACCTCCATTAAAAAACAAATAAATAAATAAACCTAATTATCTCTCCCCCAAAAAAAAGAATTAAAAAAAAAGATGGGGGAGGGTATAGCTCAGTGATGGAGCATGTGCCTTGCACGCATGAGGCCCTGGGTTCAATCCCCAATACCTCCCTTAAAAAGTATAAAGAAAGAAATGGAAGGAAGGAAGGGAGGGTGGGAGGGAGGAAGGAAGGAAGGGAGGGTGGGAGGGAGGAAGGAAGGAAGGAAGGATCCTGTGGGAAAATCACAATGAAATACAAGTTCAAGGAGAAAAAGGAAAGATGTAAAATTTTAAATATCTTTATGTATTTTTAATATGGTTGACAGTATTAAATTTCTATATTTTGCCTCCACTGGATATATTCAAAAGAGTGATGTTTTGTTTAAAAATGCCAGTATTCATACTATGCTGGAAATTCTATCCTTTGCCAATGTTTAAACTTAGGAACAGTTTTAAATGTACAAAAGAACAGTTTCCTTTTAAGATAATTAAACTATTAAAAAAACTATTAGAGAGTACTGATGTAAAAAAGTTTGCAAATCACTGTTCCAGAAAGAGGAAAGGTTAGCAATGACATTTCTGAGGCCAAAGATAGAGCAGATTCTTTATCAGCAGTGCACAGACTGAACAACTAAGGAGAGCTTAGCATCTGTTTGCTTTTCCTGGCACCTAGAGGGAAAGCCAAGCATAGACAGGGATTAAACAGTTCTACTGTTGAGTCAGAAACTCTAAGAACTGATTTATGGCGCACAGTAACAGAGAACAGTTCATATCTGTAACTGTGAGCGAGCAGTAAGTCCTTGACTGGAGACTAGTCAAGACTTAAGCTCTCTACTCTTTGCAGTTTCAAGAAAAGGTACTAATCTCATGGAGTATCTTTTACCACTACTAATTATTTTTAATTGAATATCCCTTAGGAAATGGAAAAAAACACTGAGATAAATAGGAATCTGTGCAGCACAAATTATGGGTCCAATGACTATGACAAAAACTGAAATGAACAAATAGAGGGAGTTATTGCCTAAAATCAGTGTGGTCTGGGATCAAAGTAGGTCTCAAAAACAAAAACCGAAACAAAACAAACAAACAAAAAACAGAATCAAGAGAACAAGACTGATGGGCTAATTTGCTGCAGACAGAAATAGGATGGTGTAAGTGTGATTCAGGTATGACAGTGAGGAGAATAGTGATTAGCCCAGAGCAGACGGCTGCTATAAAAGTTGGAATATAGCTGGAAACCAGACTGTGGAGGGTCTTAAATGCCAATGAAGAGTTGGCTTTTATCCCATGAGAAATGCAAAGGTTTCTGAGGTCAATGTGTGACATTTTAGGGAGCTTTTTTAGTGACAGTAGCATGTAAGAAGAGAGAAGAGTGACTTAAATTTCAGCCATGGTCTGGGGAGTAGGATGGAAGCAGACTCAATATTGTGGATATTGTGACTGGAAAATAATCAAAGGACATTGTACTAAAAGGGCATGGGGAACCACAACTAATTCCAAGGTTTCAAGCCTGTTTGACTAGAATAATCATGGTCCCACTGACAAAAACAAATCCAAAGGGAAAACAGGTTTATGTTGGAAGGAACAGGGTCAGCAAGCAAGAATGGACATGTGAAGGGAAAGGTTCAAGCTACAACTCATCTCCATCACCAATGATGGAAAATCATATGCTTTCTCCTACTTTGTTTTCTTGTTCAATAGGGGAAATAGGATTCATATTCTAACCTTGTTGTTGATCATACTAAACGACTCCATAGTGATCTATCGATATTTGCCCTAAAGAAATCTAAGGAAATCATTCTTGAGAACATGCATTTAGAAGTTCAAAAACTGATTGATTGAGCTGAAAGCCTCAGAATCACTGGTCTCTTACTCAAGTCTTGACACAGGATCCATAAAAACGACCACCTCCACCCTTCAGCCCCTCATCAGCCAAGCTTAAGCCCTTTGACCTCTACGTCTCATTAGATTCGTTTGCACTCCTCACCTAGAGAACAATGGGAAAAACTGTAAACATAAATCTGTTCCCCTTCCCCACTGATCCTCATTACCAACAAGCCTTGCAAGCTTGTTACCTATGAAGTTAACAGTGGGTTGTTTTTTTTTTGTACAGCCATCTAGGTACATGAAGCTAGATCCCTAAACAGACTCAACCCAAAGAGATCTTCACCAAGATACATTATAATCAAGATCTCAAAAATTTTTTAAAAAGAATTTTGAAAGTAAGAGAAGAGAGACCATACAAAGGAATCCTAATAAGGCTACCATCAGATTTCTCAGCAGACACCTTGCAGGTTAGGAAGAATGGGATGATATATTCAAAATGCTCAACAAAAAAACTGTCAATCAAGAATACTTAACTCAGCAAAGCTGTCCTTCAGAAATTAAGGAGAGATACTTTTCTAGACAAACAAAAACAGGGAATTTATCACCACTAGACCTGCCTTCAAAAAATGCTAAAGGGAGTTCTTCAAGCTGAAATGAAAGGGCACCAATTTGTAACATGAAAACATGTAAAAAAAATATAAAATTCACTGGTAAAGGTAAATATATATTCAAATTCAAAATACTCTAATACTGCTATGTTGGTAAGTTAGTCTGAACTCTAGTATATAGATTAAGACACAAAAGTGTTAAAAGTAACTATAGCTACAGTTGATGTGATCAACTTTCATTGTTGTCTTAAGAAACTGTCACAGCCACCCCAACCTTCAACTACCACCTTGAGCAGTCAGCAGACATCAACATCGAGGCAAGACCTTCCACTGGCAAAGAGTAGAACTTGCTGAAGACTCAAGTGATGGTTAGCATTTCTCAGCAATAAAGCATTTTTTAATTAAGGAATGTACATTGGGTTTTTTAGATATAATGCTATTGTGCACTTTATAGACTACAGTACAGTGTAAATATACCAAAAAATTCATGTGACTCACTTTGTTATGATATTCACTTTATTGTAGTGATCTGGAACCGAACCCACAGTATCTCTGAGGTATACCTGTATATATTCTTCTCAAGCACACAAGGAACATTCTCAGGAGAGAGCATGTGTTAAGTAATAAAATAGGTCTCAATAAATTTAAAAACACTGAAATCATATCAAGTGTCTTTTCTGACCACAATGGTATGAAACTAAGTATCAGTAACAGGAGGAAATCTGGGAAGCTCACATATATGTGGAAATTACACAACACACTTCTGAGCAATCAATAGGTCAAAGGAGAAGTAAAAAGGGAACTCAAAAAATACCCTGAAACAAACAGAAATGGCACACTTCCGGGCAAACACACAGACACACACACACAGAGGAATATTATTCAGCCAAATAAAAAAAGGAAATCCTACCATTTGCGGCAATGTGGATGACCCTGGAGGTTTAAGTGAAATAAGCCAGATGGAGAAAACAAATACTGTATGGTATCACTTATATGCGGAATCTAGAAAAAACAAACAAAAAAGCCAATTTCATAGAAACAGAACAGTGGTTGTCAAGGGCTGGGGATGGTGGAAATGGGATGATGTAGATCAAAGGATACACATTTTCGTTATACAAAGAATAATTTCTGAGGAGCTAATGTACAGCCTTGTGACTACGGTTAATAATACGGTGCTGCAGACTTGAAAGTTGCTGAGAGCATATCTCAAGCATTCTTACCACCACCAAAAAACCCTAACTATATGAAGTGATATGTGTGTTAATTATCTTGATCATGGTACCATTCCACAGTATGTATCAAATCATCGCATTTATACTTAAATATATACAATTACATTTGACAATTATTCCTCAGCAAAGTATTAAAAAATGAGTTAGGACAGTAAAGCATCACCAGATAAAATATTTGGTTAAGCCAAAAGGATATTGAGAGCTTATAATGTTGAAGGTCTTACAGAAATACAAAACTTGGATACATGGCAAAAAGTAAAACAGGCAAAAAAATTAGCAGCTTGACTTAAAAACAAACAAAACAAAGGAGGAGGGCAATGTAATATTTCTTTGCCATACTCAGATTTCCCAACTGCAACTTTTAGCTATTGTGAGCAACTCTAGAAGGTGGTGAGATACAAGTTTGCTGCGGCATGAACTTGAATTCTGTGGTAAGGTGGCTATGCAGAAAAATCTCCCTAAGGAGTGAGACCTCCTGGCATCCAAACCTCAGTAATGATTTGCTGTTCTCTACTATTTGGCCCTGGCACAGTAACTTAGTAAGGATTTAAAGGAAATGCTTTAAAATGTCCAGTAATACTTTATGGTATAATGTATGGTGCTACTTGGGATTCACAAAAATCTTCGCATATATCCATTTCACCCCAAGAGTTTACAGTATAAACTTAAAAAACCTGGATTTCCTTGTTTTACTATAATCCATATCAGTTTGTCTAAGGGCATCACATACCCATGTGCCTTCTGTTAGCCACTTGTTATTCTTTATTATGCTGATTCTACAACTACTGCTCAAAGGCAGAAATCCATTCTTTCAAGTAAAAAACCAATAGCATTGTGTGGAGAATTCTCATACCAAGAAAAATGCCTAGTTTTCTCTTATGCATCAGGGTTGGAAAATCTCTACATAATTAATTTGATTATATTGCATAAATCATTAAACTAAAGTAGTATCACAATTATTATTAGAAAGTAAATGAAAAGAAACAATGTCAATGAAATTGTTCTAGGAAAGCTACAGGAGGAAATCCTATTCTGAAAATATGTATTTTTAGCTTCTAGACAAGAAGAGTTTTCCTTTCTCAATTCCGTAAACACATTTTTGTTTTCAGAATTAAGTTAAGAATTAACTATTCAACATTCAGTGGTCATTTACTATGTAAAATCAGTTTTTAATAATAAAAAACGTTAAGATATGGTAGAAAAATTACTTGACTTTATTAACCTCACATATAATGCTGAATAAAAAGGCAAAATTAAGTGGTGACCCTTAATTTTAAGTCTAATTCAAAGTATGGTCTCTTAGATTTAAGAATTAGGACAGACATATGTCTTAAGAGGGAGGGAAACCAAAAAGCCAAATCCAAAAAATCCCACTGACTCATCTATATATTATAAAGTTCAAGCTGTAGCCCTTTACTCCTTTAAATGGTATTTTCTTTTGATTTTCCATTAATCTCATCAGTAATTGAATTTTTAACCAGACCCTATAATCCATCACAAGCCTTCCAATCATGAACTGAAAAGAAACACAGGCAGATATATGTACCAAGTACTTTATGAAATTCACACTCACAGCTGAACCTCACATATAAACTCAAAAATCAAAAAGACTATGGTACTCTTAAAACCCAAAGGCTAGATAAGGCCCACCTTTCTAATCTTTTCTACATTTTAGCAAATGATCTGATCTAATGATGTTAATGCAGAAATACATTATATATTTTAACATCAGTAAGATGACCATCGAGGGGAGAGCCAAGAAACCTTTGCATTTTAAAACCAACAGGAATACACCGGACACCTTAAATTATAAAATTCAGTTCTAAGCAGGAACTGTTACTGTGTAACAAATACTGCTCATATCAAAAGTGCTGGTGACAAAGAATTCAATATGCCCTCCCCATAGAATCTGTTCACATACATACCTATAACTGTAACAAGATTTTAAATGTTTAAAGTGCTTAAATGTTGCACTGAAGGAATAATTCAATAAGTATTCAACTGCTACCACTTTGTAGCAACTCCAGTTAGAGTGAATGATCCACAGGCAAAAGGGCAAAAATGCTGTTATTTTCTAGAATGTGGCATTTGTGGAGCTGGAGTGCCCTCTATTGGTAGTGAAGAGGACACACTCATTAGCTGTCCTGCATGGATTTTCTCATTAACCCGGAGTTCACATCCATCCTGAAGCATTCGAACTGCTATTCGGGCAATGTTCTTAGAGTCATCAAGACCACTGTGAGGTCGCCCATCATAATCCATTCCTAGTTTTTCAAGCATTATTGTCAATTTGGTTTGGCTTCTAGGAACCTAAAAAACAAACAAAAAGCTTAGTAAATAATTCCTTAGTATTCTGTTAAGTCACTGTGAAGTGGAAAAACAAGAAGCTGAACTTACAGTAATAGTCAAATAAAGTTAGGCAAAGGACAAATACTCCTGGGTTGAATAGAGCAAATAACAAACTTCAGAGCTTTAAAAAAATAATCTTGGGGCAGCAGAGAGGGTATAGCTCAAGTGGCAGAGCACATGCTTAGCATGCACAAGGTCCTGGGTTCAATTCCTAGTAATTCCTCTAAAAATAAATAAATAAACCTAACTACCTACCCCCCCCCGATAAAAACAAACAAAAAAATCTTAATAGTTTTAGATAAAAATACATGTAAACAGATGGAATCTTCAAGACATCTCAAAAGTTTTATAATTTAACAAATCATTTATGAAAGGAAATGTATGGTTCTGAACATCTAAGTTGAAGCTCCTACCGTTTTAACCCAAACTAACTCTTTTGGGTGGTATTTTTCTGTAATGTATTGTTTTACTTAACTAATTAGCATTATAATTGCTATCTATTATGAAGAGGGGGAATCCACACAGAAAAGAGCAGCCTAAGACACTGGCCAACATAAACAGACTCACAGGAAAATACTATTCTCTACTCAAACAAGCACTGGCAACTGCCTTAATGTATCTACAACTTTCTGGTCAATCTAAGATATTGCAGATGTGAAAATTATTTCATGGTTTTAGTAATTATTAATAATTATCCTTAGAAAAAGTAAATTATTCCTCTAAGTTAAAGGTTGGAGAAAAACCTCTTATATAAGAATGCATTACCATCTAGGAGCTGTAGCAAAAAAAGAACCTAAAGCTGATCAAGCTCTTACAAACTGACATGAAATTCAGAAGACAGAGGCATACCTGAAACTATAGCACACAATACAATAAGCAAAGTCTAGACCATGGGAAACTCTACTGGACATATGGCTCAGTTTCTTAAAGAAAAAAGAAAAAAGAAAAACAAAACCTAACTGGGACATTATGCTGTACATGAGAAACTGACACATTGTAACTGACTACACTTCAATCAAAAAAAAAAAAAAAACCAACGAAAAAAACCCAAAAACTCTGCTGGAGGGAAAAAGAAGGTGGGAAAGGAATTTATAAATTAAAAACATTAAGAGACATGTTAAGCAACTGCAACCGTTAAACAAATGCGTGAACCTTATTCTGATCTTGATTCAACACACAAAGGGTAAAAGAAAACAAAATACGGTATTTATGATGATTTGATGAGATCAAGGAATTATTGCTAATTTTTTGTAGGCGTGATAATGGTGTGGTGGTTACGTTTTCTAAGAGTTCTTATCTTTTGGGGGTTACATAATGAAATGTTTACAAAGAAAATGAAGTAATGTTTGAGATCTTCAAAAGAATAAGGAAGGGAAAGTGGGTGGGGTTAGAGATGAAACAAGGTTGGTCATGAATTAATAACTGTTGAAACTAGGTCATGAGAGTTCATTATGTGTGTCTATTGTTGTATATGTTTATAATTTTTCATAACCAACTTCTAAGAAATCACAAAATGAGTAAAAAGATAAATCCACAAAAAAGGAAAAACTATTTACCAAATATAATCAAAGGATTAGTAATCCCAACAAAGATCTATAAACCAGTAACAAAAGGAAAGACCAATTTTTTGAAAATGGGTAGAAGATTTAAACAGGGTCTTTACAAAAGAAGAAATTCAAATGACTAATAGTCATAGGAAAAGGAGCTCAATTTCATGAATAACTAGGCAAATGCAAGTTACAACCTCAATGAGATAGTATCACACAACCATCTATACAAACATTTTAAATGTCTGGCAATACCAGATGTTAGCAAAGACGTGGAACAACTATAAATCCACACACTCCTCTTGTGAGAGTACAAACTGGCACAATCACTTTGGAAAACTATTTTTGCATTATCAAGTAATTCCAATGATGCATTAAACCCCTAGATTTATACTCTGGAGAAATGAGTACACAAGGCATCAGAAGACATGCACTACTGTTCATAAAAGCCCCAAAATGAAAAATACCCAAATGGCCAGCCAAAGTAGAACAGATAAACTATGGTACAGTTACACAATAGAATTCTACACAGCAATAAAATAAATGAACTACAGCTACACATACAACATGGATGAATCTCAAACATAATGTTGAGGGGAAAAACAAAATAAACAATACAGCCAGTATGATGCCAATTATATCACATTTAAAAACAGGCAAAGACCCCCTAAACTATATGGTACAAGGATCAACATATAGATATTAAAGCTATATAAAAAACAAAATGATTCCAATGACAGTAGGGATTACAGGAGCTCTGGGAGGAAGGAAGGGGGTTAAGTGGATGGAGTTTACAAGTAATTTCACTTTAAAACAATTTGTCAAACTCCACTTTTCTGTACACAGTTCTCAATTTTTTTAAATGTTAAAACTACCCAAAAAAAAAGTTTTTAAAGAAAAGCATCTTTTCTCATGAACCTACTTTAGGATGTGCTTCACCAATATGAGGTTGTAAAGGAAAAAAGAAGATGATGCAAGATCTAATACATGACAGAGAAGCAACAGAAATCTCTCAGGATGATTTTAGTACAAACAGTTCAGATTAGGGGATTAAAGGCTCCAGGAAAACAGTCTCCAAGGCAAAAAGGAAAAGAAAAAAGAAAACCGGCCAGACTACCTGCATGTTTTGAGTACTGAGAAGTGATTTACAGTTTGAGTGGAGAGTAACAGGGTAAGAAAACAACAAAAGAAGTCAATTATTAGATCTGGGGAAAGGTCGTGAACACCCTCCACAGTCC